CTTTTTTTTCTGTAGTGGTCTTCCCTCAAGATCTTCTTGAAAAGGGTCTCTCTGCAAGCAACTTTGCAATGCTTGGTTTAGGGGATATTGTCATTCCAGGAATTTTTGTTGCTCTTTTGCTTCGATTTGACCACAGGTATATTCAGATTATGGGTGTTATTTAATAACCATTTGATTGCTTAGTTGCTGGAATAATTGTTTAATTTTCCTTCTTCTCAGCCTGAATCGTAATACTAGAACGTATTTCTACTCAACGCTGTTTGCCTACCTGATGGGTCTCCTGGCCACCATTTTTGTGATGCATGTTTTCAAACATGCTCAGCCAGCTCTTCTGTATCTTGTGCCAGCCTGCATATCTGTACCAGTTGGCGTTGCTCTAATCAAAGGAGACATCAGAGCTCTATTTGCGTAAGCGATATTTTTTTACCTTCTCTTTTTTGATGATTTCAGTAAGAGAACACCTGCACTTATCCAACTTAACTTTTTAGATATGAAGACTATGAGGAGGGAACTGGAGAAACCACAGGCAAGAAGCAAGCACCATCAAAAGAAAAAAAACAGAAATAATCATAAGGTTAGCAAATTAATTTCTATAAAATGTTTCTTCATACTTGCAACATTTTCCCATTAATGTTTCATCAATCTCTAAACTTCATAGGAGAAATGTGTTTCATGAACTCAGCTTAATCTCTCTGTACTCATGTTAAATTCTCATTCCATGATTGTTTGTACCAACAGAGGCATGGGTGAGGTGACACAATGATTTCTGTTATTATGACAATGTTTTGATTTTTTTTTTAAATTGACCGATCAGGCTGCTTTTTTTTGTTTCTGTTTTTTTAAGTAACCATTTTATTTCTTTTGATAAATGTGTCTTCCTCACACAACTTATGTGCTTCCCTTCAGAACTGATTTGCATACCTTATGTACACAGCTGGGTTCATATCTTTTAAATGACACGGCACAATATGTTAGCCTGTATTAGGTTCTAAAGAACTTTCATCTCTCAACATGTGTTATTCTCTAGAGTTGCATTTAAGCTAACCAACCATCACTAGGTGTCATATTGTAACATCTTGGTTTCAGTTATCTCGCTTCATTGTGTTGTCTGTACTTATTTGTGATAGCCATGCTTGGAAGAACTTAGATTGAACTGCATAAATACAAACTACAATGTAAATAGTCGTTTTGCACAATAAGATGTGTGTAATATAAATGAACTTTCTCTTTTGAAGAGAAAAAAAAATCTCACCTTTGACTGAAGAGCTGTTGTTGATCTTTGGGTATATGTATCTGAACTTGAAACATGTGTGGTGTATGACATACACAGCAGTCCGGTATTAAAAGCTT